AATACAATTAATAAAAACTAAACTATAATATGGTTGCTGTCTATTGGTTCTTGTATATGAAACATTTCTTTAATCCAAAAGTGTGAAGCAATCTACCAAATAAGTTTTGGATTAAAGAGACGTTTCATATACAAGAAAAATTAATAAAAATAGAAAAATAATATACAGCAGGGTTCCGTACAATGAGCAAATAAAGCAAGCAACACCCTCAAATTATGTCAATCAGAGGTATATGTTCTTTTTTTTTTTTTTTTAACTTGTAGGCTAAGGTTTAAACTTTCATAAATCATGTGATAATGCATAATAAATCCCCCACATTGTACAGGACTCTACTATATAAAATACCAGCATATTAAAATGTTGAAAAATGATGAGAGAATTTGTTGATTACTTACTACAGTATTTCCTAATTTTTGTGGTAATGGATCAATTAATTCGGTACCATCTTCTTTTTTATTTTTATCAGATGTTTCTTCAGACCAGAGATGTCGTTTTAATAAACTCCTAAAAAAGTTTTAAATTTATGATTCTTGTAAAATACTTATATGTATATTTATAATTGTGCTAAATTTGTGAAATATTTCTTTATGACAATTGTTTATCATAAAAACATTAAATATATAAATATAATAAAATAAGCAACATTTTTAATAAAAGATATATTTTTAGCCAAATATTCGATCATTCTCATCTTAAAACAACCCATTTAACATATTTGTTGTTCTACACAATTTTATTATATAATTTAAGAATTTTATTTATTTTAAATAATAAACATGTTCCTTCTAAATTGTTATAACAAATTTAAAAAAATGTAGTATGAGAAATACTTAAACAAAAAATAAATATTTGATTTTAACAATAAATAATTTAATAACAATATTTTCAATAGAAAATTTTGAATGAAACAATTATTCCTACCATAATACTGTTGGATCACTTGAACTTCTACTTAAATGATAACAAAGAGATACGAGCAATCCACAATAAATAGAGAACATTAAATGTTGACTGGGATTGTTATTTTCCTAAAGTAGATTTTTAAATATTTTTTAATGATTAATATGATTAAATATTAAATATAACATTATTTATAATTTTATATTAAATAGTGACAATTTCTATGAGTTATAATTAATTACTTTATAATAACACTAAAATTAAAAGTTATAGAGTCTTCATACATATTGTATATTCCTATTAAAACAACATTTAAAATTTATTTCTAAATAGAACTATCATTTTTAATCCTATCCTTTCAATAAATTCATCACTCTCATATATGTGAAAAGGAATGTTCATAAGACTATATTATAACTATATAATGCCATCATCATCTAGTTTATATATATGTTATATAATTGTATCTAGTCATCTAATAAAAATCTGATTAGAATTAAAATATTTAAAAATTTTCAATTTTAAAATATTTTTATTTAAAATAATTTAATTTCTCTCTACTAAGAGCATTAATCTTATGATCCAAGAGAATATATGTATTTTAATAATTTACTATCACTACTAGGTGCTTATAATACATATATTACAACAAATTATCAACACAATAACAATTATTATTGTTATATTCCATGTAGGCTATACTCTATCAACACAATATTATTGTTATTGTGTTGATAGAGTGTAGCCTACATGGAATATATAGGGTGTTTCAAAAGTAATGTGCCATAGGGGATTGTGTGTAGTGTACCAGTTATATAATGCATCATTTCAAGTCTGCAATACTGTCAAATGGAAATAAATTGCACAAACTTCATGTGTGTGGTTGAACTGCTTTCAACTAATGTAGCCCAAATGCATAATTCTGCAACTCACAACTAAGTATGTTGTGAAGATTGAACTTGTTCTGTTTAATATATGAAATATTACCAGTTTTTTTTTTATTATTGTTGTGCTTAATTTTATTTAAATAAAACTAAAAATAACATAAAAAAAACTGGTAATGTTGTGTGTTCCTGCTTTCATCTACTTATCAAGTATTTAAAAAAAAAAAAAGCTTTACAATTATGCAGCAGGACCTACATTAGTTGAAAATGGTTTAACCACATACATGAATTTTGGCAATTAAATTCCATTTGATAGTACTGCAGACCTGAAATGACGCATTGTATAATCAGTACAATAAACACTTATCCCTGATGCATTGTCTGCAAGTGTGTCTACAAAATCTCCTGTGATGCATTTCTTCCTGAAAAACCACTAGGCACCAATAAACAGATTGGTGCCTAGTGCTTTGAAAAACCAAAGTTAAGGCATAACTACAGAAAACAAAAATGTTTTGTTTATGTGCTGTTCATGTATGTATTTGTGTTTAAAAATTTCCTGACAATATGATGCATGTTTAGTATGGCAGCCTTCTATAGTATGATGTATGTGTTGTTATGAAACCCTAATGTTTCAAGACCTTTTGTATAGTGTATGTGGTATAATCTTGTGCAAAGAAGGATTACTGGCATAATACTTATCTCATCCATTTTTTATAAGCATTTTATTTTGTGGATGAGTTCTGACTGTTTATTAATTTTTCAGTTTTTTTCAATGATGTATTTTGTATATTATGGGTGTTTGGTACACTAACATTTCTATGGTGTGTAATTTTGTTTTGTATGTCAATGCATGTAACATATGGTCTTCTAATGTATTGTTTCATCTTTGATTATAACACTATAACACAGTCATAGTATATTTTATGTGCCATTTTCTAAGATTAGCTGAGGAGTGTATTTGTAGTATGGTTTCTGACTAGAAATTTATGTTTGTTGCAAGATTTTGATGTATTATAATCGCTATTTGGTTATGTTGATGTAAGTAGTTAGTGTTAAAAGCTTGCAACGTGATGTGATGTTCGTATCATCCACTAATTCATCCACTGACTTAGAAAGACAATTTCAGATTTTCCAAGCTTCCCAAATTATTACTGATCTAGGTCTTGGATATATTTAAAATAATCTTGCTCTTCTTTTCTAATGTTATGGCAATAGTCTCGTGCTTGATGTGGGATTTTATACAAGTGAGTATTGTGTCTTAAGATGCACTTTCTGTAGTTTCTTGTATTTATGACTTTGGTCTTGTATTGCAATGATGAATCCTTCTGTCTTTCCAATGATGAATCCTTCTGTCTTTCCAAAGAGACAACCATGAGTCAATCACCAGGTTGTTGTAGTTTTGTCAATGTGTTCTTAGCTGAGATTGTTAATGTGCTTATTATGGAGCTCCTTCCAAACCCAAGACTGCATGTTGCAGTCTGCACATTTTATGTATTGTATTAGATCTAGGTCAGTGCTGTGTAAGTTTAATAGTATTAACTTGACCATTTCTCAAAAATGATTAAGTTAATGAATAAAAATAGAAAAATTATTAATACGTTTGTAAAATATATAATGGCAATATTTATTTCACGTTCAACAATAAGATCTGATTTATTTGCAAAATCCATTGTTTATGAGTATAAATAAAACCTTAAATAATAAAATTAATTTTTATGTGAATATTAAACTTACTTTTAGAGCACTATATGCAAATCCATAAAGAAACGTTACAGCTGAACAGCTCCTAACTATACAATACACAGCAGATATCAGGCCAGTACTAGCTGCATATAAATATTTAAGAAAATTACCATTAAAATAATATATACAAAATAAATTTATTTATTTTAAATTTCTTTATTTATAGACTAAATTTGTTATTATAAACTTAATTTTCTTTGATCATATTCAAAGAGATGAGAAAAAAAAAAGCTTAATTCTGGAAACCAAGAATACATACAATAACATACTACCAATAAATAGTAGAATGCTATAAAAGTGTATTAAAGAGCACTATGACTGTATATAGTCACTGTTATAGCTCTTTAATATTGTCTTTATGCTACAAAAAATTGAATTTGTTATGAAAAGTAATAGACATACAATACAAAAACAGAATTATATGCTAATGTAATTTTAAAAAATTTTTTGAATTATTTAGAGTAGATGGACAAAATTTTACATATCTTTTTATCATCATCTTCTAAAGACACACACCAAATATCCAAATATCATCCTGATCAATTAATCCAAATATAAGTTATGCAAAAATAGTCATTCCTGAGTGGTGCAAAATTATATGCAGGTAAGTACAAATAGATTACTATGGTAAAAATACACAAATTTTTAATGCATAATGCTGAAGGTAAGTGGATACTGCATTTTTCTTTACTTAAAAATCAGAGTGTAAGTTGCAGCTTAACCTGTCCTGTGTTGTTCCTGAAAATTTTCGTGTTGACCTCATCGACCTGCATGGGTGATCCCAAATATTTTTGTGTCTGCATCAGAACATTTTTGATACTATTGATAGATGTTGCTATGCGTCACAATTTTTATATTAAAATGAACTTTTAAAATATAAATTTTTTTTTGTTTTTATATTTTTCAATATATTTATTTTCTTTGTGAAACATAAAAAAATAATTTTTAATGACACAGTAAACACAATTATTATTTTAAAAAAAATTTGTTAGGCTTAACATCAACGAAAATTCAACATGACGTCACACGCAACAGAGAAGAATTTCAACATCGAATGGGTTAAACTTTGAGTACAAAGGTGCTAACTGTTAAAAAGATGAAATTGATGGTTTACACTCAAATGGCAAGTCAATAAGTGTAATATTTGCTACCATTCAATGCTCTAGAGATGTCATTACAAAATACAACAACAATCCAGATAATTATCACAGTAAGAAATGAAGTGGAAGGTCATCTTCATCTTCATCTTCAAGCCTTGACAGAAAAATGATTTGATGAGCTGCTAGTACCGTGTTTCCCCGAAAATAAGACAGTGTCTTATATTAATTTTTGCTCTGAAAAATGCGCTAGGTCTTATTTTCAGGGAATGTCTTATTTTTTCCAGGAAGAAGAATTCACATTTATTATTGAACAAAAAAATTTCCAAGTCGAACTTAGACGAGAGTGACGTATATCCGGTGTGTCGAACTGTCGCCTTTTTATAGCGTCAACATCGGACTCGATGACCAATTAGTGCTTACTGAACCGTAGCACTATGCAAATGTCATGTGGCGTGATTCCCGGCCGACCAATTAGCCATCACCAGCCGTAACGTTATGCAAATCTGTGATTCCCAAGCCATAGTCTTATGCAAATCATGCCGTGTGGCGTAATTGTCTGCTGACCAATCAGTGGCTGTACTTTCAAAAAAGCCAATGGCCACTTTCAACCATCTGTCGATGACTGTTATGACTAAAAAAAATTCGCTAGGTCTTACTTTTGGAGGGAGGTCTTATATTCCGCAATTCAGCAAAATCTGTGCTAGGTCTTATTTTCTGCGGATGTCTTATTTTCGGGGAAACACGGTAATAGCAATATTACTGCAAATCAAATTCTGTTTCAAAATAGACCATTTGAAGAGTGATCTTCTCATCTAAAATATTCAAAAAAGACAATCAAGCCTGTCTGAAAGATCATAAAATAGCAAGAGTAGAATGAGCAAAGACAAAGATAAGTTGGACAGCTGAGTGATGAGAAATCATTTTCAGTGATGTAAAATGTTCAACTTGGGTAGCCCGGATGGGTATTAACACTATTGCCATAACATCAGAAAAGAAGAGCAAGATTATTTTAAATATATCCAAGACCTGGATCAGTAATAATTTGGAAAGCTTGGAAAATCTGAAATTGTCTTTCTAAGTCAGTGGATGAATACAATAGCATATCAGAAATTGCTAGCACAACATATCCTTTCTATTGGAAAAAAAATCAGAAGAGCAAAACAGAAATTATGACATGATGATGCTCCCATACATACTTATATAAGTGATGTTGAAAGCAAATGGTGGTTTTCATCAAACAACATCAGTATAATTGACTGGCCAGCACTCTCTCCTGACCCAAACCCTATCAAAAATCTATGGGGCATCAAAATGAAAAACAGTTCTAAACAGGTGGAGAGTTGAAATTAGCTATCACAAGAGAGTGGCAGAAATCAGTGTTAGAGGACTGCAAAATTTAATTATTTCAATGCCAAAGGATATATTTGCAATTATTCCCAAACACAGAAAATGAGGAGTGTATTTGTAGTATGGTTTCTGACTAGAAATTTATGTTTGTTGCAAGATTTTGATGTATTATAATCGCTATTTGGTTATGTTGATGTAAGTAGTTAGTGTTAAAAGCTTGCAACGTGATGTGATGTTCGTATCATCCACTAATTCATCCACTGNTGACCCAAACCCTATCAAAAATCTATGGGGCATCAAAATGAAAAACAGTTCTAAACAGGTGGAGAGTTGAAATTAGCTATCACAAGAGAGTGGCATAAATCAGTGTTAGAGGACTGCAAAATTTAATTATTTCAATGCCAAAGGATATATTTGCAATTATTCCCAAACACAGAAAATTGATAAATGTATAAATATTTTTTTTCATTTGCAATTCAGTGAATAAATAGAATTTTGCACCATCTTCAAATGGCTATTTTTGTGTAATTAATGTTTGGATTAATCAGTTAGGATGATATTTGGTGTAAGTCATTAGAAGACAATGCTAAATAATTATGTAAAATTTTGTCGATCTAATCTAAATAATTCAAAAGATTTTAAAAAAAAAATTACACTGTATAATTCTGCACCTTACTGTATACATGATAAAATGTTATTTTAACAAAAAATAATTTAGTTAATCAGACAAAAAGAAAAAAAAAGTTGAAATGTTTTCTGAAAAAAAATACTGTTTTATTAAAAATTGTTTATTGCTATACAATTTTAAGTAAATTATGTTAATATTTTTAAATTTCTATATTATAAGCTTCATACCTGTTCCACCAAACAGATGTATATCTATTTGTTCTAAAAAATATATCAGAAAAGTATTAACTTGAGGTAGAAGTCCAAGGCTGAAGATTATTGGAAAAAATAATGTAAATGCTGTAATAATAATAAAGAATTAAAAATTAATCAAATATAATACATTTTTGTAATTTTTGATATATATACATATATATATATTTTTTAATTGTCAAATTCTATACTCTTCTACTAAAAATTAGTGTTTTAATATTTTACATTAAAGAATGTTTAAAATATAGAAAGTCAAATAGTTCAAACTTATAAATCTAAAGTCATGAAATTAAACAATTAAATTATTCAGTAATATCATGTTTAATAGATATTTAAAATATTTATGCATAATTGTTTTAATACACTATTAGTTAACTAAAATTACTTACTAACAAGAACATCTCGAACCCATTCAAGTATTTCTCTGCTAGTGAATACTATTCCATATAGACTTAAAGATGAATAAGGTTCCTTTATTTCCAAGCAGAATTGTAGAACAATCAATAAAAAACAACATAAACAAAAATAAACAGGACGGCTGTATAAAACAAGACGGTTGTAACCCTGAAATAAAATATATATCAAATGTACTCCTTAAATAATTTCATATCTTTCAGTAAATATATAATAAAATAATAATATTTTATTAAGAGTTCATAAACTCAAACCAATTAACTAAATATTACCAAATTTTTATAGTAATGTTTGATTACTTGACTCATAAGCCAAGTCAAGTAATTTGAAATTTTATATATTTATATATACATATAAATTATTAAATTTATAAAAAAAATTAAATAAATAAATTAGAAGTTTTTAGTGTTTTTATAGTTATAACTGAAAGCATGCTATTCTTTAATAAAGAAGACAATAAAAGAATGTAACAGAAATTTTAAAATGACTTCAAACTTTTCTTTAGGGAAATTAATAAAAAATACTTATTTTGTAACTAAACAAACATATATAGTAATTAGTAAATATTTCTTAATGTCTTCAGAATATTTCAATAATAGTTTATAATTTCTATATATAATGTCTCTTTAATCCAAAAAACAAATTTGGTAGACGATCTCACAGCTTTCTGGTTATGTAAAATTTTTATATTATTTCTATTAATTTGACATTTTCTGTTTTTTGTGTGAATGTATTGTGAGTGTATCATGGAGAGTTATTGTATCCAAGCCAAACAACTACATCATGCTCTTTTATTCTTACTTCCAATAAATGACTAGTTTCACTTAAATAAATTTTATGATTTTGACAGTTACACTCTATTTTATAAACTATCCTTGCCTTTTTAAGATTATCTACATTATTGTTATGTTGTTTATTAATGTTTTTATAAATGTTATTGATATTTTATTGACCATACTAATATTATCCTTTTTAAGGAAATTGATGTTTTTTATGAAATTTTTAAATAGAATTATATATTTTTATGTAATTAAGTGTGTTAAGCCATTGTAATTTATTGTATAAAAATTTTTTATATAAAATAGTAGACTGTTGTGTATATTCATGGAAGATGCAATTGTAGAAAAAAAAATTTAATTTATGTCTTTATATAATAAATACATAAGTGGTTTGTAATGTAAAAAATATTTTTTTGTAATATCTGAGTAATGTCGTGCCTCTAATTATATTGTTGTTTTTTTCGTACAGCACTGAAGAGGGGTTGGGAACTTAAATCAACCCGAAATGCATTTGTAGTCCAATTTACAAAATAAAGCTGTTTCTAACCAGAAAGCTATGAGATCATCTACCAAACTTATTTTTTGGATTAAAGAGATGTTATATATAGAAATTGAATAAACAGCAACCATATTACAGTGAATAGTTTATAAGTTCATGTGTCCATATTAAAATTGTATAGTAATAATGCATAATGAAAAATTAAACTTAATAAAGTACAATTATTTATTAAATTATCTAATATTTTACTAAATTGCATATATCAATAATATGATTTAAATAATACTGTAATTAATTATGATATAAATACATTTTTTTAAGTTAGAGTATAATATATAAATACAACTTACATGTGTTGGAGAAGAAGCATCAGGCTGAACACTCTAAAATTAAAAACCGGATTTTAAAATTTATTATTGTATAAATTTATTTTAATTTTGCTCTAAATTTACTCAATTGTATATAATATAAAATAATTTCATCATTAAAACTAATTATTTTCATTTATTAAAAATATATACACCAATCGTTATGTAGCAATAGAGTAATGCAGTGTGAAGTTGATATTATAGCATATATTCATTTTTAAAAAAACTTATATGCTATTTAATGTATTTATTATTTAGTAAATACAGTCTTACAAATTCATAATAAAATTTGTATCATTTTATATAATTAAAATCATCATCATAAAAAAATTTATTATGTTAATAATAAATTTATATTATTATAAATTATAATCATATAAAATATCTTATATATGTTACCGGCCAAACCTGATTTCAGGCCAAACTAGTTTATCCTACGCATGTCAGGATATACTAGTTTAGCCTAGGATAATCTATTTTGGCCTAAATACTTTAGGCTTAACTAGTTTGACTTAGGCCGAACTGATTTATGTACTACAAATAAGTGCCAGTGTAAAAAAAAAATTATTTTGTGTAATTTGAAATGCCACCACAGTACACCCAGTGGTTAGAGTGTAACCCCAATGGCAGTGCTTCAGTTAGGTTGGTTTGGTTAGGTTAACTACATTTATAGTACAAGTTTCCTGTTTTTTCTTTTGTACAAGAACTACCATGAATCAATAACTAGTGACGTTAAACAATGGGTGGCCTGCCAGCAGTACCCTCGAATAGTTTGGACTATTCGTGCCGGGAGCACGAATAGTCCGAAGTGCCACCATTGGGGTTACCTAGGTACACTTTAACCCACCCTGTAAAAATAAATAAAAGATTAAATATTTTATATGTTACACTAAGAAACACAAACAAGTTCATTTTTAATTTTAGTTTGACTTTAAAAGTTATTTTGTTTGAATTTTTGAAACATTTTTGAAAGTTAATTACCTTTAAAGGTGCAAAGCTTAATTAAAAAAAATACAAACTGATAAGTACTGATTAGCTTATTTTTATTTTATAGTGTTGTACAAGTGTTGTGTCACTTCTAATCAATACCGTTTTTTATAATTAAGTAAGATTAAGTAGACTATGTATGAATAAATATTGTTCATCTAATTGATTGCCTTTTAATTATATTTTAACCATTAATATACTTAAATCAGGCCTGGCCAATCCGCGGCCCATCACATTAAATTGTGTGGCATGCTAAGTGATATTATATATCTATTAAAACTTTCATTTTCCGTTTTGTGATATCTGACATTATTGTAATATTGTAATACAGTGGAACCTCGGTATACGATCTTAATCCATTCCTGATGTTTGGACTTATACCAAACCAACCTTTCCCATAAGAAGTAATGTAAAAATGATTAGTCCGTTCTCACGTAAAAAAAAATGGCTGGCTTTAAACACCTCGCTTTCCTGGCTAGTTCCCGCTTGATTTTTCACGAAATTAGCATGTATCTTTTTAGCTTTCTCGCAAATAATTGCTTCTGATACGCTGTCGCCAGCACACGTTTTTCAGTTATCCAAAGCAAAAGAAATTTCTCGACATGATCTAATGTCTTCGATCTCTGTTTAGAAATTGATTTAACCCCTTTTGCAACGTTAGCAGATTTAATAACGTCTTTATTTTTCACGATTGTCGATATCGTCGTTCTCAGAATACGGCATGCAACAATTAAAATCTCGAACATGCGTGCCACCTTCATATTTCTCAACAATCTCTTTTTTCAGTTCCATTGTGATTCTAGTCATTTTTTTAGTTTTATGTTGTTTTCATTTGCCTTTTTGCAATTCATGACTCATAAAAATAATAAAATTTTACATACAAATTAAAACCAGAAGAAAATTAACCAAGTTATAAACCATTGCACCGCGAATGTCTAGTCTGGTCTAGTACACCGATAGTGCTACTTGTTCATAGATGGCGCATATAATTGAATTAAGTCATATACTGAGCAAAATTTATTTCGTCCAAACAGGACGTATTCTAAAGCAGACATATACCAAGGTACCACTGTATTGTTATTGTAATATTTAACATTTTAAAATAATATGAACTTTTGTTTTTATTGTCACAACTAGATGCATAGACAGACACTGGGCATTTCTACATCATCTGAATAAAGATGATGTAGAAATGCCCAGTGTCTATCTATGCACTTAGTCGTGATGATAAAAACAGATAAAACAAGACATGGTTTCAGAATACATAATATGAATTTTTAATACAAGTAGTAATAATAAGTAATATTTATGTAAATATTGAAATTTAAAGTAACATGCTAAATTTACATGGAGCTAAAAATTAGGGAAATTAACCATTGACTCAAGAAAACAAAAAATTACAAGTGATATTTTTCCTGGTTATTTGAAAAAACAAAATACAGTTTGCCAGACAGGCCAACAGGATATCTACTGGTTTAAAAATTCATGATCCAAAGCCAATTTTTTATACCTTTTATTTACATTTGTTAAAAATAAACTAAAATAGATGAATAATGATGATGATAAATTAAAAACACTACAGCATAATGGATATATATAAAACCAATAAAATAAATTGATACTTTTAATCTGACGATTGTTTGATTTATCATACAGTTTCACAATTAGTGGAGTGACATTGATAGAGAAAATGCAGTATAAAGTAGATTCAAACTGTTATATGATTACAAAACTTTATAAAGATACTTAAGTTAATTTGGATATGGCTACCTAAATATCTGATTGCATAATTTATAAATTGACTCAAATCACATACAACACCTATTTTGTCAAGGAAAATGTTGTATTCTGCTGTTACTTCTCCATATTACAAACACCTCATCAACATATCTTTTGTACAAAATGATATCATTCATGAAGAGAGAGAGTAAGGATATTTTTCTCTAATTTATGTAAAACCAATTTGCACAATAAGGAGTCCCCATAGGGAGCCCAGTTTCAGGCATATTGTGCAAATTAGTCTTATAACAAATTTTTGAACACAATGCTAACGATAATGGGTTGAGTCTCAAATTGAAGCATGAAAGTACAACAAGCATATATTTCTTGGATATTGACATCACATTTAAGAATGGAAATTTATACACAAAAGTTTTCATTAAACCAAAGCATGACCCACTATATATCTTGTCATACTCCAGTGATCCACAAATGTATAAACTTTTGGCTTTTTGACCACTGATCAGAAAGAGCTTTTCTATATTGTATTATCATTAATGATAGAATAAGAGAGCTTAACAAAATTAAAAATATCACCATAACAATAGAATACAAAAAGAAATTGGTCGAAGGTCTCATCAAAAGGTTTAAGGAAGACAAAGGAGGAATGAAAACAAGAAACAGTAAGATATCTAAGTTGACATATAATAAAAACTTAAATAGCATCATGAATGAGATTGCAGATCATAAAGAATCAGAAAAATATAACATAAAAAAAGAACAGTGTTGTATGGGAAAAGACTGACACCATAAAAATGGTGCATTCACCATCATTAGCAATAAATATGGAAAAGTTAGAAATATACAGAAGTAGGGTAATAGACAGGTGTCTGAACACTAGGGATGTTGAAGGGTTACCATCAGCATGGAAACACATTGTGGAGAAAAAACTAAAAGATACCAATTTGTAGATTGCCCTTGGGTCACAGAAATAATCTTTCTATACATTTTTCATATTTGGCTTCTTATTGTATATTTATACATTGTAATTATATTATATGTTTCATATTTTATTATTAATTTGAGTTTGATTTTGTGTAACATTCATCCTTTTAAAGTTGTTTTGTGTTCTTTCATTCATATTTGAATTTGTTTTATTTGAAATTCCATTAGAATGTAATTTAACACTTGAAGATGGCTTGTAGAGCAAGCTGAAAACATTCATGATTATCAAACATTTTCCTTGGCAAAATAAGATGTTGTATGTGATTTACATTACTGCTGAGGGTCTATGCTTGAGAAATTATAAAGTGAATTACATAATTTGAAAAGTCGTGCTTTACAAAAACGTGCTTTACATAATTTGAAAAGTCCGTTAAAAAGCAGATAATTTGAAAATAATTTGTATTTGATTTTTTGCCTGAGGATGATAGCTATTGAAATACAGTATTAATCGTATTTGAATTTTATGCTTCTATATAACCTTATCTTAGCAGCCATATCTTTCTCTTTACCTACTTTAAAAATTGATATATTCATACGTTACCATAATTTCTGTTGTAATGTTTCATTTTCATTTAAATTTGATAATTGATTTTAATAAATACATAATTATTTTCAAAATCATACATAATGCATTCATGCTTTATAAATTCCTAAAACTGTAGATAATTGCACTCCTGAAATATGATTTTTCAGCAATGTTAATTATTATTTATGCATTAGCTTAGTTCACATAGAGTAAAATGCTAGCAAAAATCAGAAAGTAGTGCAAATATTGAATCAACAAAGATATTTCAAGAGAATTTTTCTTCTTCTTTATAAATCAATGGCATTCCAACATATTAAACTTTTCCCTGGCAAAAATATTTACCACTAATTAGAACTACAAATTTCTTAAGAATGAACAAGATTAAAATATGATAATTAGAAACAATATGCTTACTAATTATATTCTTTTAATTGTTAAATTCTCTTCTCAATAAATGCATCAATATCAATTCATTATTAACTACCACTATCTTATTTCAATATTTGTTTTTGCTCACATATCACTGCTCATTTCATTGTTTTCATGTTATGAAATGACATTAAGACTTGAATTCACTAACTTGTAAGTGAAAGTAAATTATTTTTCAATTCTGGTTTTGCTAGCAAAGTCTATCTGAACTAATTTGTCAAAACTTCATTTATGATGTAAAATAAGATTTACCAAATTAATATGAATTAGTCTATACAAATATTTCCATAGAAATTTTATTACTAAATAATATATTTGTATTAAAAGGTAGCTGCAGATATCAGGTATCTGATATCCAAGTGTGAATCAGATAAATTTTCCAAGTAATTAACAGCTTTGTACCCAATATCTGATATAAAATAGGTACCTTATGATTAGCATTAATTATTGATAAGGCAGAAGTGATTATTTCTTTTCAGAAACTAGAGAAATTTATTTTGATAATTACTCATAAAAAATTTTATGACCAATTAGCAAAATTCATGACTTTTTTATGATTTACATCATTAGTAGACATTCTGCAGATGATGTTATTTTTTTTTAATATAGGTAAAAATTTTTAGTGAATTTTTGTGCAAATAATTTTCTTTCTAATCATGCATGTAAACTTTCATTACAAATTAATAATTTTAATTTATCTATATAAAAAAAAGCTGAAGCTTTATGTTGGTTAGTACATATGTGTTTACAGAATGTTTATTCAAATTTTAATATATTTTTATATAATAACTAGGGGCTGAATTTGTGTGTTTAAAATCACAATATAGGTGCATACATATGCACTGCTATATGCATAGTAAAATGTCTGAAATACGCATTACGCATGTTAAAAGCACCAGTAATATACATTAAAATTTGTAGGTTAAAATGCATATGTACTTTAAATGTCTAAGATCTAAATTCCTGACTTTCTTAGCAATTCAGCATTAGTTTTATTTTTTTTTTTTTTGCTGTTTTACCCATATTGTCAGTTGAACCAATCTCAATATAATGGAATACTTTGTGTACACTCCATACATAAAAGCTTCACTACATTGCTCACAAGAAATTCTCTAATATTTAATTAAACATTATATCTGCACAAAATTTAAATCTTTCAAAAAATTATTAAATTAATAAAGATAACATTTACAATAATTTTAATCCAATTAATTTAAAGAATTTTGAGAATTTGAAAAATGAGAGATTTCCATGACAATACAAAACTGTTTGTTTGTGGAACTTTAAAAGAATGAAGTTATGATATAAAATAGTTCAAATTTAAAAGATTTAGATTTTCTGTGCTCGTCTGTAGTTGGATGGTGGAATGATATTTCTCATGTGAACTGTATATGCATAAAAAATATTCACTGCACAGACAACAGAAACAGACCAGATCATTTGAAAACTGCACTTGTAATCATGCAAACAACCTATAAAGTTTATAGAGCTTCTATTTAGTCCAAAAAATGATCAATCTGAACAATAAGTAGTAAAAATCATAAATGCCAATAAAATATGCATTATTAAACAACCTTAATTTTTATCTATTTAGACTCAAATAGTGTTTATATTAAGGTTTAAACATCACAACACTTAAACAAAAACATGCACATGCATACACATCTACTCCTTAATAATAATTTGTCTTAGTTTGTGTGAATCTTTGTTTATACTGTAAATTTGTGCCAGGAATGCAATTTCTATGCAAACAGGATTATATTCTATTCTTTTTTAGTTTGTTTATTTGTTCTTACATATATTACTAAACTGATTTAGATTTTAAAATATCTATTATATATAATTTATATGCAGATTATAATAATCATTAATCAATAAAATTTCTTCAAAATAATTTAAAATTTTATTCTATAAATAAAATAATAACTTGATATAAAAGCAAATGTCCTAATTAAAGTATCATTAATTAATATTAATTTAGGCACAATAATCTGCTTAAAATAAAAGTTATAACTTTAGATACTTGACACTTCCATATTGCAACATTACAAATAGAGAATTGTTAAAATTCATGTACTCACAAGCACTTTCAATAGCTTATAGCTATCATCCTCAGGCGAAAAATCAAATACAAATTATTTTCAAATTATCTGCTTTTTAATTAATGGACTTTTCAAATTACATAAAGCACATAGATGGAATTTAGAATAAAATATTAAAATTGAATAATTATAATATTTTTATAGAAACATGCTGTTATGACGTAATCTTCTCCAAAAAATATTTAAATAGCTATTAATGGTGCCATGTTTGGCTGTGGAATAAATTAGATTGCAAAATTATAATTTGGTTTGTTTAAATAATGTAATCCATTTTTGGGAAGATTGCATCATAACAACACGTTTCTATGAAAATATTATAATTATTCAATTTTAATTAATTAATCTTAATCAATTAAAAATTAATTAATTAATTTAAATTCCATCTACGTGCTTTACATAATTTGTAAAGTCCGTTAAGAAGCAGATAATTTGAAAATAATTTGTATTTGATTTTTTGCCTGAGGATGATAGCTATTGAAATTGCTTGCGAGTACATGTGAATTTTAACAAGTTGTTATTTGTAACACTGCAACACGGAAGTGTCAAGTATTTAATCTTTAAAAGCTGGCGTGAAATGTAATTTATTGTCATTAAAGTTATAACTTTTAACTTTCAAAGTTATGTTTCAAAAAATCATGGTAAATTACATTAAATATCCTAGTTACATAAAAATCAGAAATTCTATTACCTTTAATAATGTATACTGACAACTTGCAATAATAAAGCAAAATACAAAACTCCAAATATCTTGAAAAATATCCTGAGATAAACATACTGCTCCAAGTGCAGCTACCAGCACTGCCAACATCACAGATAACATATTCTCTGTTAATGTTAGATTCCTAAAAATAATGTAATTTTATTTAGATAATTTAAATATATATTTATGCTCTTATTTAAATCTAACTAATTTAAATTACAATGTGTAATTTTTCCCCCAAAAAATTATTGTTTTTCTGTAAAGTATGAATTTTTTTTTAAATGTTAATTAGAGACCATTCATAAAATTGAAGAAAATTACATAATTTTTATGAATAATTATTCATAATAATTATGAATTTTTATGAATAATTATTCATAAAAATGTATAGATTAGTAGTTAAATTATAATTTAACTACTAATCTATTGCAACTAAAAAAAAACATATGCCACATATTACATTATTTAGTGTTATTTACTTTAATCATGCTGAATCAATAATAGTTTAATAGCATAGCAACTAAACAGCATATAAGATGCAATTTTCCATGGCTAATAACTCAAATTCCCCAAATTGCCTTCTTAGGCTACAGGTAATTTTACCTATGTCAACACTTTAATTAAATAATAACATTTTTATTCAACATATTATTATTATTATTATTTGATTTTTGCTATAGCTAAATACCTTTTGAATTTATTTTCACTTTTTATCACTATTTATGAAGACTATTTTTTAATGTGAAGAATTCCTTCTGAACTCCTCTTTCTTCCTGATTAATTAAAGTGTAAATTCTAAGTTTACTTCTTTTGTTTTATAAACATAATACAAAAAAAAATAAATAAAATAAAATTGATTCTGTGCACAGAATGGTAAATACACTAAATACTTTTTCCTAGCTATTTGGTGCTGAAATGAACATTATATAACATAAAATATGATAATATGTTATAATAAATAATTTTATAACTAATATTTCATTTTTAAGATAAAGGTAATGAAAAAGCAGAAAACACAATTTTTAACTCTCATAAAAATTTAAAATAAAGAACAAATATTTTTGGATATATTAAGTGCTAAGTCAATTAAATATGATGATAACTGTATTATTAATGAAATCAAACAATTTAAAAAATGAAGAGTTATATTTTAGAAAGAGTGATGGATTTGAATTACAGATATGTATATAAGATTTACATTTAAGAAATATGTTAATAGCACAGATGTATAAATAATGAGTGTGTGTGCAGGAATAAGTATGAATAATTTACACACAGTTAGAATTTATTGAAAGCATAATTTCACTAGCAGACAGACTTTATACTGAACAGTAAAAATCAATTCTTTTGATAAAATACAGCAACAAACTATTATAAAATCTATAATAAAGTATTTAAATATTTTTGAAAAAATATGTTTTTATAGAAAAAATTTTTTGATGGAAATACCTGGACTAGTTACTAATTAATAACGAGTAAATGTTAATGCATAGGAATTCAGACTTCCCTGTCAAATTTATTGCAATTCAATGGAAGTTTATGTTACCTATATTTATTAAGTGTTCTATTTTTATCAAGAATTATATTGAAAAATATCAATGTATTACATTAAGTTATTTTATTACTTTATTTATTTTCTTCTTATCTTTTTTCAGAATCTTCAAAGAACAAAGTGGTGAATACATTTTGTAATAAATTAAATTATTATATGTAAGTTTTGTTCGTTAAGATATATGACATTAATTATTGAATAACCCAATATTTGATAAATAAAAATTGATCAATGTTTAGACTGTCTTATTAATATAAAATTAAAAAAACTCAAATATAAATTTATATTAAAATAATTTCATATAATTTGACTCTTATTCTAAACCAAGTTAGTGTATAGTTTTTGTTAAATTTTGAAATACATAATATAAAATCAAAAACAATCTTACCTGTCCAGCAGGGCAAGTAAAGCTAATCTGTCAAATCTTATTTTTATATATTTAAATGGCATTATCCAAAACTTATAATAAATTTTTGGCTTAGAAGAATGCTGCCTATTTTCAGCAAATCTTATTCTACAACTTGATGCAAGTTCAGTATCAGTTCCCCCTTGAGAACTAGCAGCTTGAGAAAGATTAGAAGTAGTAGGTCCTCCACCCATGTTAATTGTTGCATTTGTTACACTTTGGGTTGCTTGACCAAGTAGAGATTCAGCAAATAACTGAAGAGGAGCACGAGGTATAATGCCTCTTGACCTAAAAGGATTACTAGATGATGGAGGTGGAAATTCTAAGCCAGTGAATGAACTTTGTAATTTTGGTGTGTGCAATACTACTGCAGGACTATCAAGTATGACAGTAGAACCAGAACTTGAAGATGAATGAGATGCAGTTTCCCTAAAACAAAAATAAACTTAAGACTAATATTTACTAAAATGTTATATTTAAATAAAAAATATTTTTAGAAATGAGCATTATAGAAATTCTTATAATATTACATAATATTTCTATTTGAAAATTTACTTCCAAACAAAAAATAATAATATATAAAACAAACAATATATAATTTGTAAAAATTAACAATCTCTCTAGAATAGTATATAAAATTACTGTTGAAAAACTTATATATCACTCCAAAATTTTTGGTAATGATATAATCAATAATTAAAGCTATTAACTATTTACAAATATTTTTTACAATTCAACATACATAAAATCAAAACAACAACAAATCAATATCATATGAAATAGAATGTAGATAATATATTCTGTATCATTAATCCTTAAACAATTCAAAATCAATTATGTGGGAGCCATACAGAAATATTTTTCCTTGTAAGATTAAACAAATACAAACAAAACAGAATAAAAAAAAAAAAAGGAAATCCTTGAAAATACTGTCAAGTTTTGTTAAATCTTGTCAAATCAAATCATCTTACCATAGGAAAAATTTTTAAATTTTAAATCACAATTTCAAAACAACTTGGAGATACTTATTTATTTATAACAAGATACTTATAAAAATAAAATACTTAAAATTGTATTTACCATTTATTATCCATCATAAATTCTAAAAGTTTGGCATCAGTAGCAGTACTCAAGCCTTTAGCAACTCCTGTACTATTTTCATCAAAAGTATAAGTTAACCAATTACCTAAAATAGAAAATAAATAATTTATTTTTCAGACTTCTTTTGTTATTTATTCCAGAAACTTCAATGTCTAAAAAAAATTTTAAAAATAAAATTTTTGTAACTTTTTGCATTCTTATTACTTTATTTTTAAATTATTTAAATCTGTGATTGATTGATATATGCTTCATGAAATAAATGATTAGAAATAAATCAATAAATTACTGATATAAAGTATCAGAATACTTTAGGTTTTAAAGTTTATTCATTTTGTGTAAATTACTCTAATAAATTTTGATACTAACTTTTAATTCAATTTCAAAATACAATTAATTGTATACAGATGATGATTGTATTTGCAGTTTCAACACTTTCATATTTCTGTAAAACATCATTAAAAGTCTGAACAATTGCACAAATAAAATTAAAAACTTTGTTGCTAGATTGTATAATAACTTCTTATAATAGTAAAAGACATGAAAACACTTAAGCTAAAAATAAAATCAACTTCTGTACACAATTTATTTGTGATTTTATACAGATTAATACAATATATACATTTGTTGAATTATATTATCAATAAATATTAAACAGTTACAAATTTTTTATAGGAATGACATTGGAAATGAATTAAGTTGAGGGAAAGATCAAATATTTGAATATTGCCATCTGCATTGAACAAGTTTGTTATATCAGTTTTCAGGAAACCAACTAAAGTTCCATAATATCTCTAGTTCTGCTTGAGAGATCCTTTCAAATATAAAATTACAGTGTTTAAATCTCTTGTATGGAGAACATTTATATATCACTTATGCAGCCACCTTCAGGATATATAATTTCTAGTGCATAAATAAGGTGGTCCAGGTGGAGTTATGAAAGGACTGATATACAGAACTGTAATTAAAGTACCATACTAAATCCTGCTAAAAGTTTAATGATGATTATAAATTACATAAAAAGTAAAAAAATATAAAAATAAAAGAACACACAATACTGTACATCCTCTCCAATATATAGTAATTCAAACTTTAATACAGAGTAATATATCAACACTGAATAATAGAGTATTAAATGCTTGCTGTGTTTGTAGTTAATGCAAACTGTTTGTAATAGAGTTCAAGTACTGTACCCATACATGAAATCAGCATGTTTATGAAATAATAGTAAAAGTTTTATTTAAAATATATATATATATATATATTTAAGGGTGAATATATCATCTAATTAGACTTGNTAATTATAATTAATAATTATATATATAATTGTCTTTTTATTACTAAATTCTGGAAATAAATTTAATTTGTCTAAGTAAAGATTTATTTTATTTGAATGTCATCTATCAGAGGGATCTCACAAACTATTCCAAAACAATAGCAACAAAGCTCAATTTCATTTAATGTGAGTTTGAACAATACATTGAGTTTATCAGTTTGCTAGTCATTTATTCCCTATAAAAAATCAAATATTGATAAATGCCATGACCCATAATTTTCTATCTAAACTTTTCTGGAATATGGTGAGAAATATAAAAGGTAGTTTATAGACTGACCATAATGTGACAATAAGTGAGAAGAACACTACAATATTAGGAATAGAACTCATTGTAGACACTGCAAAAATATTAAGACCACACATAAAAGAAAATAATGTCATTCTGATGTAACTAGACTCTTAAAATGTATGATTGGATCAAGAATCAAAAGGAATTAATAAAAAAAAAACCAAATGGGTGGTGTAAACAGATAGAAAGTACATGCCACACAGTTAGTGATAGAATAAGAGAACATTTAGATTGTTTGGAATATCAATTAGTCACCAAAAAAATATCTAATTTAAATGTTAATCTAAATTACTTTAATTTATTAGTTTCTTGTTTTTAGAACATTTTGACTTTCAGACAAAAACTTTTGTACTGTTTGATTTATGTTTGAATCTGTTCATTTTTTAAATGTTCAATTTAACAATGAGATGTGAAAAAATCTCAAAAAATGTATAATCAAAATAAACTGCATTTGACTCCTTAAATTTCAGTATTTTTCTTTTTTCAAGATTTCTAACATAAAATGAAGTTGGTTATCACAAGGAAGACATTAAATTCTTTTCATAGCTATACAAAGAGAATCAACAGTGCCTCCAGATAAATGCCTTAAAGATTTTGTAAATTTAGCCATACCTTTTATCTTGATATCTCTCCTCATATAACATTTGTTTATGACAACTTTTTTTTTGTTACATATAGATCCTGTAAAATGCCACGTAAGAAGTTTATGTTAGTATTCAAAGCTTGTGCTAGGATTGGACATTTTAATTTTGTAGGATAATTTTAAAAATGTATTCATAAAACAAAAAATTTGTTTTTAAAACAGTTTTGCAACTAGATTTGAAAGAAGACATGAAATAGAATTGAAATAGAGATTTTAGGAGAGTTCTCTCTTTGTTTTAGTTGAGTACCATTACTTGCCTCCAAGATATTTCATTTTGTTTAATTCTTGTATAAAGTGATAAAACTGTGGATATATTAAGAACTCTACAGAAGTTTTGTATAATAAATTGTAGTTTTGTATTTATTATATTTTAATTCATATACACCAGAAAAATCTGTTAAAGCTCTTTAAAACTAGGATACAAAGATAACCCAGAGAAACACATTTGTAAACATAGACTAAACCTTTGTAAGCACAATGATGTTGTAATATTTTTGTATAAATCATTGTATTAATTTTCAGTAGTTTTTCTTTCTTATGTAACTTTTGAGTATAAAAACTATGTTCTGTAACATACGCATTTCCAGTTACAACAACACTTATTTTAAATAATAATAATGAGCTCTCACTACACTTCATAGCTGGTGATATATGATGAGTTAGTCATGATCACCAAAGTCTACTCCAAATAACAATCAAAGATTCAGTAAACTTATATTTTAAAAAGGTAATACAATGTAAAATTATCTTATATAATACAAAATGAATGATGTAAAACACTGACCATGTTCATCTTGAAAGCAATGTACAGCTCCACTGGTGGTATCATTATGAGAACTTGCAAGATGAGTTCCAGGAGCAGATAATAATCCTGCTAAAAGATGTGGTGGGGGACCAGAATGAAGTTGTTTTTTTGGTGACATCCAACTTGCACTGCTACTATCCTCTCTAAACATTAGATAGAATTATTGTTTCATTTGTTGCCATTGTTATTAAAATATAAAAATAATGAAATGTTTTGTATTTTGTCAAATAATGACAGTATATATTTTTTATAAAAAACATTTTAAAAAATTAAAAGAATAAAATAAATCATATCAGTCTTTTCAGTTCTAACTAATCACAATTTAATAGTTTAAATATAAACTAAATTATAAAATTTTGTCAGATGGCAATCAAGTTCAAAGATCAAATTGAAGACAAACTGTTGAAAAAGGAATCATGATTTATTCACTTTCAATGTTCTGTTTGATCTTAATATGATTCAAGAATTTGAGAAATCCTACATACAAAATTCCACAACTTTTAAGTGCTAACTCCACTATTTGATACAGTAGAGCATCGATTATCTGAATCAATTGGGGACTGGTATTGTTCAGAAAATCGATTTTTCAGATAGCCAATTATGTACGAAAAAATACATTATTAATATAGTATATTAGTATATTCCAATAATAGTATATTAATATATCCCATGTTTAAGTTTTTCTCTGTTGCATGTTGTTTTGCATTGAATTTTCATCCATGTTAAGCCTATAGAAAATTTTTATAATAATAATTGTGGATATTGTATCATTAAAAATTATTTCTTTATTTTGTACAAACAAAAATATATTGAAAAATATAGAATAAAAAAAATTATACTTTAGAAGTTAATCTAGTATCAAAAACATTCGATTCAGCACGACACAGTCCAACTAGAACGCTTTTGGTTAACTGACATTTTGGTTGATTGGCATTTGGATAATTGACACGCTACTGTATTTTTTTTTAAATTCAAGTATAATGTGTGTTATCTCAAATTTATCCACAGATTTTAGAATATTGAAATTTTTAATGTCTTTTTGTCTTTTGTCAGGTTTATTTTATCCCTTTTTGCCTTTTGTCAGGTTTATTTTAATGAAAACCAATAGTGCAATTTTTGTTTTCTTTATTGTCCTAGCTTTCCTATCAACCAGGTGTTGTTATCATTGCTTTCAGACTTTAGCTTTTAAGTTTGACATTGTGTTTTGTCAAACACTATGTAGTGTAATCAATCAATAACTTGGCATTTTTCATCTATTTAATTTTTATTTCAAGAATACAAAGGAACTTATAAGAAGAATTAAATGAAATCAATATCAAAGAAATGTTTACAATGGCTAGTCTATGTACCCATCAACATAAGAAATAATTGAAAATAAATTACAACATATTAAAGTAAAAACTGAAATAATAGATTTGATAGAGTTCTCCTATAGAAGTAACTAGTTTGAAATCAAAGAAGAATATTATACACAGACAGAAGGAATAAGAATGGGGTCCGTGATTAGGCCAAAACTAGCGGAATTAACAATGATAGATATAGATGAACGAATCAATAAAATACAAGGAATAAAATTCTACAAGAGATATGTAGACGATATTCTTATTATATGTAACGAAACAAAAATTAAATTGATGAAATAACTAAGCAAATAAACAGCATAAATAAAACAATAAAATTCAAAATAGAAGAAGAGGATAAAATTAAACACAAATTAAATTATTTAGATATTACAATAAGAAGAACAAAAATGGACCTTTAAAAAGCCTCACTCAATAAAAATAACCATAAAATACAGTTTTAATATACCATTACACATAAAACAAAACATATTCCATGTGAAATTTTAAAATAAAAAACAGAATAAGTAAGAACATTGATGTACATAATGACATAAATGAGTTAAAAAAGAAATTCCTTTTGAATGGATATCCAAACAGATTACTAAAAGCCTGGGAAAGGAAAATAAACACCTGAAAAATTTTTGTGAAAGATAAGCAACATTCTAAAGCAAAATATCCTACTTTCCCATACATTAAAGGCCTGTATGAAGAAATCAATAAAGAAACAAAGAAAATTGATGTTAAGCTAGTACCAAAATATGAAAAAATAGATTAGATGTGGGTGTTAGATTAAAAAATCTAAAACCCACAAAAAAAAAAAAGGAAACAAATACCAGCAGAAACTAAAAACATTGTATACCAAATTCCTTGTACCTGTAATGATACCAAACATTACATAGGAGAAACAAAATTAAAGATGAAAGTAAGACTAAAAGAACACATTGCAGATCTAAAATATCATCAATTCAGTTTTCCATAACCATTATATGTTGAATGATTGCAATATAGATCAGAATAATATAAAAATTCTACACAGAGAAAAAGAAGCATATAACTGAAAATTAAAAAAAAGTATGGAAATCCTTAAAAATAAAAAATGTATAAATAAAAATCTAAGTATAAAAATAAACAAAAACTGGTTAAAAGTATTATAAAATAGAAATTTAAACTGAAAGTAAAATCAAACTTAAAAGTGAAGAAATGAAAATAAATAGTAAAATAAATTAAATGAGTTATTTATGAACTATCACTTTTTATAAATTCAATAATAATAATAATCAGTCAATAAATATTTGGTCATGGGTCGGCCATCTCACCATTTGAGGATATGCTAATAGGCACGGTACTGTGCATTGAAAGCAAAGAGATGATATAAGGAATAACACATAATGATAAACCTGTTTGTGCAATATGGTTTTATTGGATTTTATCAACAAGGAGAATAACCAGGTACGTTGTCTTAATCCTATGAGGCTTGTATACAGGTTTAACTCATTGTGAAAAATTTTCTTAAAAAATGGCAGAACTGAAATTTTAAAATTACCTACAAGCCTCACTGCCTTTGAAAAGGAGGAAAAGAGTGAGAACACTGGCAATATCAGTATGGAAGTACAAGAACAAATTGATACAATGTTATGTATTGGCATGTTATGTACCTAACTCCAAGTGTGTGAACAATAGTAATCTTAAAGGAGGAACACGCGAAGGTATAATTGAAATGTGTTTATATGAATTTTGTAAATTAATGCAAGCAATAATAAATAATTGTTTATTAGATAAACAGAAATGAGTCAGTGTAAGTTATATACCTGTTTTGCAGACATCTAATATAGATTGTTTCAAATGATTGCAATCTCAAAGTATATTTTGTACAATATCTATATTGTTTATATATGTATATTGCATTTTTTGAGATTTGTGTGTATTTTTATAACTTTTTAGTTGACTGAGGAGGGCATTATTGGGACCAAAATGTGTACAAAGAACACATATCAACTGAATAAAAATAAAAAAGATGAAAAATGCCAAGTGATCGATTAATTACACTACATAGTGTTTGAACAACGGAAAAGAATAACAACACAGTTTCAGATTATTAAATAAATTGTGTTTTGTTTTTATAGATTTAATATTTAGTAAATTTTATTTGAACATTTTTAGGTAAGTGCTATTAAGCTTTATGCTTTTATTAAACATAGATCAAATTCATTCGTAAAATAATTTGTTAAAATGACAAACAAAATACTGCAGTATCTCAGTACTCAAACTGTTCCTATCTCAAACAATTCAGTATTTGAACAAATTCTGGAAAAAAATCACTCAGTACTCAACTGAACAAACACAACTCACTAAAAACAACAAATTTTTGATTAATAACTTATTTTAATTTTATAATTTATAAAAGTTTTTTTCATGATAAAAATTTAAAAAATGGAGATGCTACTAATATTTTTGATCAAGATCAACAAAACAGCTCAGAAAATGATGATACTTTGTAAAAAAGAAAATGCCCTTGTCTAACTAAAATGATATTAACACATCATACAGTACTTTTTACTGTGATTATCAGTTAATTATTGATTGCTTTAATAAACATATTTCTCTTAGTAATGAAAAAGAATAGTATACTTTTATTAACTTTTTGAACTTAACCATATGTTTTGCATTAACCCTTTGTTTTGTATAGCACAGATTTGCATAACATGGCACTTTTTTGGAACATAACTACCATGCTATATGAGGAATATCTGTATTTCAATTATAAAATTATTTTAATTATTAGTTTTGTTTGCCTTAAAATTTTTTATAGATACTTAATATATTACCCATCCTCTTTATTTGGTATTCCTGGGAGCAGAGATAGCATTTCTGGAGCACCATCAGGAGTTCGTCTTCTTCGAGCAAGCAGTTTTAGTTTTTTGGAAACTGGTACTTCTGAAAAATTTTCATAATTAATTATATATTATCAAACCTTCAATCTCATAATTTATTTTAGATCATTACTATACATAAGTTTCAAGCAAAAATTGAAATTCCATAACACAGAATAAATAAAAATATTTTATAAGAGATTATTTTAAAATATTTACTAATGCTTATAAAAAATACACAAGACTATAGAAGAAATTTTACAAAAAAAGTCCTGATATTTGAAATTCTTTTAATTCCATTTTAGTTGATGTAATTATGTATCATATAAATAGTTTTGGTGAGTATCAAGTTTTCTTAGAATTTCAGAGTTATCTAATATGATATTGAAAGATACAAAATGATAAAGAATAAGATAAAGGAATTAATATTATCTGTATTTCTTCATATTGTGTTTCAGATAAAAATATGTTTAGAATTCTGATATTATATCTATAAAAGCAGGTTGAACCTTTGATAGTATTAATCTACGCATAATACAAGATGAAAAATAATACAAAAGAATACATATAAACAACAATAAATTATATTTTATCAAATTATGATCTTATATAAGGCATGAACCTTCCAGTTCTTTTTTTTTTTAGAACTGTCAAAGACTGGACTATTTCCAGTCATTTAAAGCAGGGTAAGATAAAGCAGAGTAAGGCATTTTTGCCTAGCTTACTTTCTGTGCTTACTATGCACTTTCTAGCTTTTGGCAAGAATCATGTTTACTTTTTTTTGATTGACACATTGACCCTATCTTAGTCACTTTCATAAACATTTATACCAAATGAAACTCTTCTCAGCCTTTTGCTTTAGCATCTCTCATGAAAGACTTCAATGCATTTCATTTATGAATGTGTAGACCTTTGCTTGGGTAGACATGTTCATCTGAGTTTTTCTTTTTTGAGCCCTGGTGATATCTTTCACCTTCCTTTTAGAAGTATATTATCTTTCTTTACAGAGATCAATCTTCTGGAGTAATTTATTTTGAGATATACAATTGGTCTATTATCTTTCTTTACAGAGATCAATCTTCTGGAGTAATTTATTTTGATATACAATTGATCTTTTAGGTCAAAGTGTTTTTGGCTTTGCCCCACTTGTAAAATCTACAATGTACTAATAGAAAGATGCAGATCTCCTGATAATTTTATAAAAGAGAAATAAGGCACACTGCCCAATAGTTTCAAGGTATTCAATCCAGATAGCTAAGTCATTTGTCCTATCCAAGAAACAGGCTGAATATATTAATATAAACTCAATTTCTTGACGACTGGAATGTGTTGGCATGGAATTCCAAAAATATGTTTTTGCATTTTCATGTCACTACATTCCAATTGTCAATATATTCCATTATGTAAAGAACTGAACACCATCTTTTGCCATTATCTCATTATTTTTATTACATTTTAATTTAGGGATTTTATTAAGTTCTGGGCAATAAACTTTGTATTTCCAACTTCAAAATTATAAAATTCTTATCTATTCAGATAAGTATTTTTTAATTTGGATGGTTTGTTTATATACTGATGTAATATCTCTAAAGAATTATAGTATCTCTTATTAAGATAATTATGAAGTGAATTAAAGAACAGAGAGTTTAACAAAATTGTCAGGAGTTAAAAAATGCCAAAAGATGATGACAAAATTGTTATTTCCCTGCAGTAAATATATCATTTCAATATAAAAATGTTTAATAATAATAAAAAAATAAAAATAATAATAATGTAATAGAGATTCATAAATACATATTAGATTTTCTTTCCAATTATGAGAAAACAGTTTAAAATCTGCTGATAAATATATTTACCACAATATTTATTGTATTGATAAAGAAAATATGCTATGTTTTAAACTAATCATTTATTAGCTAATTTCCAGTTTTCACTTGAACGTAATTGCATAATTTTACTGATAAGAATTATGCAATTATTTTTTTAATACAATAATATATAATAAAAACTACATAAAATACACAAAAAATATCAGAAATACCTTTGGTAGGACTATTTTCATTCATATTTACAGACACTTGTCCCACAGATACATCTGATGACATTTTTCCTACGTAGTAAATTATTTAATCATTAAATAATTTAATAATTTCCATTTCATTTTAAAAAGTTAAAAATGTTTTTTGATAGTTTACGATTATTAACATTCTTAAATATGTTAATAACTATAAAATAGCCATTAGATAGTTGATGAAGTATCTTAAAATGTGTTACCATATTTTCTGGGATTGACCGGCATGCCGCATAAAATGGGAGAGACCAGCATGCCGGAAACCCCAAGGTTACTGGCATGCTGGTTAAACTGTGACTAAAAAAATAAAATTAATCAAATCTAACAATTTTGTTAAATAAATGTTAAATAAAACATTCTTCCTAGTACAATAAAATAATAATATTGTAATTTGACTGACTTGAAATCAGGAAGAGTTTCTGATTTGAAGACAACTGAGTTTCTGATACAAGACAATAAAACAATTTCTTATTGGTGGTGGTAATAGTAGTCAGTCAGTCAATGTGGACTACACTGACAATCTACCCTGACCTTAAAAATAACACCTTTTCAAATTTCACACAAAGGAGATGTTAATGGTATTAGCTGAGATAATTTACAGCAGTTTCTTAAATTTAATATGTTTACTTTTGTGTTTTTGAATCAAATTACAATAAAATACAGTAGAGTCCACTAGTCCAAACACTGCTAATCCGAACATGTTTTGGTTTGCGGAAAAGAAATTTTTTCCAATGAGAGGTCCATTTAGGGGTGTTCCCCTTTCTCTTTCCTAAATGAATCATGTGAATAAGGCTTCATCAAGCTTGTCAAACATTGAGGACCTTGCTGTTTATCAATTTTCAACTGATTTTTCTGAAGTAGAGACACAAAACTGTTGGATCTTTGCTCAGTTTTTTTTCCAATTGGTTATTGTGGCCTTGCCTACTCCAAATTCTTCTGCTAATTTCATTGCATTTTCACCCTTGTCCAGCCTCTATTTCAACATGGAATTCCAAAAATATGTTTTTGCATTTTTATGTTACTACATTCCAATTGTCAATATATTCCATTTCTATTTCATGGCCATTGTAGCAGTAGACTAAACTAAACTAAACTAAAATAATATAAACTGAAGAGTACATTGAACATCCACAATTAAGTGTGCTAACTCACACAGTAGCATCAATCAACTGATTGGAATCCTGGACTGTGTATTAAAAACAACGTTTTTTACAGTTAAAATAATTTTAAGGTAAACAATGAAGGAAGGTTGCTATTTCAAAATGACAAAACTTGTTTTTGTTAACTGTTTGCACCTTCTATTGAATACAAGCGAGATGAAATAAAGGGTGGTGCACTAATGTCATTGATTGTGTTAGATCTATATAAACCAGACCTGTTTTACTGCTTGCTTCTGCATTATTTCAATTATTCAGCTAATCCAAACAGGGCTTGGTCCCAATTAGTTTGGAATAGCAGGACTCTATTGTAAACATAAAAAAACATCGTCAACATTCCACAAGTATTTTACATTGTTAGAAAGACAGCAAAATGAAGAAATTAAACATATAATTATAGTTTTTGATGCAACGTTGAGAGTTTCACAGTTTTAGAATAAAAACTTGTTCATTTTTTTTTAATGGGATCTCTATAGAGGGATGTATAACTTCACTTAAGCCAGCATGTCTGTTTTTACCATACAGAAATATCTGATTTCATAGTCTGCCGCAGAGAAACTGACATGCTGGACAATCTGCAAAAATACAGTATTAAGTATAAAATAAAGCATGTTAATAAGCACAGCAGTAAAATAATTCAATAATTATTATTGTTCAATAATATATCCAGCAATCTTTGCTAATATTTATTTAATTAACATCATTTTTCAACTATAATATTTTAGTAATCTATGGCAGATAAGATATTTATTTATTATTATTATAAGAAGAAGAATTAAATAAAAAGATATGCAAATATATTATTTAAATCTTTATGAAGAAAACATGGATATCCTAAATCAGATGAAATGAATATGCTATAATTATAAAATAATCATCTTTTAATCCAGAAAATACACATTTTAATTAACTAAAAAAACTATAGTTTTTGGCTATTTACAAAACTACTTGCAAACTATAGTCAAACACACACTAACAATAACAACAACAACAATAGTAACAGAGGAGAATGGACAGGGTACTTATTCACCTGGGGACCTATTCTGAATTATATCATTAAGCTAACGAATACAATAAAAACCAGTTTCTATCGAAACCATGTGATTGGCATTTAATCAACTGTGAAAATGTATTCTGAGCCATACATTTTGTTTTCGGTTTCGATAGCCAGGTGCAATAACTAAGTTTTTCTTATCAATCAATCTCAAGGTGCTGTTAGGAGCATAACAAAAGTAAAAAGAACATGACAACTTCAAGTGTAAGGATGATATTGCTTCATGAACAATTTGGGATAGAGAAAATTAGCATTGGACATCATGAATCTCAGTTTTTCATATTTGAGATAATGCTTTTTGGATGAATGATACATGCTTTAACAAACTTTGTCATCTTCGAAACCATTACTATTACATTATGCAATGAATTACAAGAAAAGCTACAGCTGGGGCCAGATTTACAAGTAAGCCATGTAAGCTGTAGCTTATGGCCTTGAGTTTGAAGGGAATTCAAAAATTTCTACAAAAAAAAAGAAAATTGAAGTCAAATTTTGTAATAAGTTTTTTTACAAACCAATAAAGTATACTTTACTTTTTATTTTGTGTAGTATTTAATTATATTAATAACCAATATTGTTAACTTTTAGTAGCTTTTTTGAGATAAAAAAATTATGAAAATGACATTTTTAGTGTTTCCCTGTTTAAATTGTAACTTATTTTATAATATATTGCAAATAAATGTTTTATTGTTAAAAAGTATTATTAAAATTAATATGTTTATGTTAATTCTCTTTTTTATAAGATTGATTTCTAAAATTGTAAAATGTTAGTAAGGGGCCTCACACAGAGTTTCAAGAGCCTTGAAGTGCCTAAATCCAACCCTGGCTAGAGCTGAAGTGTTTTAACTAATCTATCAAACTGACAAGTTGTAATTCGCTGGCTGCATTGTCCCTTCTTTGATGACATTTTAACAAAAAATTAGGCTACAGAATATTAAAAACACGTGCTTCATTTGGAAAATGGCAGGTTGCAGCCATGTGGCAAAAATACAATGATAACTAAACTGTGACTGGTTAAAGCATAACAACTATTGATAGCATGGAACCCAGACGCATCGCAACTGACTACCCATAACAAAACTCACTTAACGTGGAGCACAGAATAGTGATTTGTCTAAGGTTTATTAACTGCCTTTCACTAAGGAGACTTATCGAATGTCCAGTGTATCGCTCTCGTTGAGTTATCAGAAGAGCTCAGAATAGGTTCCCTGTATTCCTTTCTTGCATATGTCATACCACATATACTAAACGAGTGTATAAACTAGGAATTGCATTACTAATTAATGGTTTACCAGTGATCAGTTAAATAATTCATTGGTAAATATACTGGTATAATAGTAAACCTGTAATATAGAAGTGTCAAATTTATTTATTTAAACTGTAAAAGCAGTTTATGTCATTTATCTTTTAAAAATTATAAAGAAATGTAAAGTAGTAATTCAAAGTATCATATTACAGCACTAAATTGGACAGCTTGGCAATCTGTTTCTTATTCCATTATGACTACAATACAACAGAAATTTTAGTTGACAAAATAAAACATATTTACATGAATGCTGGCACTTGTACTAGTCATTTTTTAATCATGGCAATTAAAAGATTACAACATGTTATCAACTTACCAATGAGTCATTTGTGTACTAATCTTTATATTTAGAGTCAAAATTTAAAAATTACCAGTAATTTACCAGTAAACCAATAATATTTTAAAAATTTACCATTTTATTACTAATAAAAAAGTCAGTAGATTTGCAATCCCTACTAGAAACATACGAGCCTCATAACAATACATACATCACACTAGAAGTCATACTAAACATATATCACATAACCAGTAAATTCATAAATATAGATACATACATGAACAACATATAAACAAAATAACAAGTTTTTCCTGTAGCTATGACTTAACTTAAGTCCAGCATAGCACTAGGAATCAGAATTAACTAAGTAGAATACATACCATCAATGCCATAATAATAAAACATATGTCACATTACAGAAAGCAGCCATAATAAACACACACCACATAGGAAATTCTAAAACACAGACACAAACATCCAAACTTATCCAAAACAGACTGTCCATGAAGAATTCATGGGTTTCCTATCTGGATTTGATTCCAGGTACCGGAGAACAGTACAGTAGGTAACAAGACAGTAAAGATATCGATTTTTACTATCTTTGTCATTTGGTTGTCTACTTACAAGTTATAATTTGTAAGGCTATTAAAGCAGGTTTGAATAATTTTTGTGCATATTATATTAAAATTAAATTGTGATTTTTATTCTTTTCTATGATATCAAAAACTAAATGACTCAGTTAATCCATCATGTGAAAATATATTAAACTTTTAGAAGGAAATGAGATGGTCAATGCTGTTCTTTAGTGTATAAAAATGCTCCACAAGAAAACTTCTGTATTTAACTTCATTTATAAAGTTTTCATTTATGACAATAACTTATTATAAATCAGCTTAGCAAGGTTCATAGATTAGTCATCATTATTAAATTCTTTTATTTTTAAACTTTATTAAAAAATAATTTTATGATTCATTTCTTATCTATTTTTTGTGTTTGTGTTGTTATTGTTAAAGCACTTTTAATAATAACACTTTTAATGCTCAATCTCTAAATAATATATTAACACAACTTGCAATTTAAAATATAACATACAAGACTTCTCTATAATCTAGGCATAAAGCAAAAATCAAAAATGCTCTCTTTTAATGAAGACTATGATGAGGACAACTTACTGGTTTTTGTTCCTGAAAACTGGAAATCAATATTTTAAATCCAGATTTTCTGAGTGTAAAAAATTTCAGCAAA